GTGCAAAAAGGGTGTAGCTATTGCAATGTTTACAGTATATACAATGAATTAGATGGAGGAGTTGTACAGGGAGATGGCCATGGGCAGGAATGATTTCCTGTGTCGTTCAGTGGTGCTTTTTGGTAATCTCAGTCTCTCACTGAACGTGCTCCTATGACTGGCCAGCATATCATGGTGTGGGTGAGAGGTATTATCCAACATTGTCTTTATCTTGGACAACATCCGCCTCTCCAGCTCCATCCCCACAACATTACTGACCTTGCAGATCAGTTTATTGAGTCTGTTGGCATCTGCAACCCTTAACCTGCTCCCCCAGCATGCAACAGAAAAGAGGATAGCACTGGCCACAAGAGACTCAGAAAATCCTGAGCATTGTCAACCAGATGTTGAAGGACTTCAGCCACCTCAGGAAATAGAGATGACTCTGGCCCTTCCTGTAAAGTGCAAAGGTGTTTAACCTAGTCCAGTTTATTATCTATGTATACTCCGAGGTATTTATAGTCCTCCACAATGTCCACGTTGACCCCTTGGATTCAAACAGGGGTCGAGGTTTTCCTGGTCTTCCTGAAGTCCACAATCAATTCCTTGGTCTTTGCCACATTGATTATGCTTGCACCACGTGACAAAGAAGTCAATCACAGCCCAGTACTTTGTTTCATCACCCTTGCTGATGCTTCCAAACACCGCAGAGCCATCAGAAAACTTCTGAAGATGGCAGGTCCATGTGCAGTGTCTCAAGTCTGTGGTGTAGAGGGTGAAGAGGAAGGGGGAGATGACGGTCATTTGTGGTGCCCCTGTGTTGCCGATTACCTTGTCAGACACACAATGTGGAAGACACACATATTGTGGTCTTCCTGTCAGGTAATCAACAATCCAGGACACCAGAGAAGCATCGAGCTGCATCGCTGTCAGCTTTGATACAGGGAAAAGGCATGACATCTTCCACAGCACTGGGACCCTCTGTGCACTGAGACGCAACATGAACAGTTTATGAAAGACTCCACAAACACAAAGTGTTATGTAATTAATTACAGCAATTACAAAACAACTTTTTAAGTTAACTATTTAAAATATTAAGTTGCTGTTTATTCAACACTTTTTTAGTAAATAACTTTTTTACTTTTTAACTGTAGGCATTTCAACACTTTATATTTAAAAAGTGAAAATAAACCAGAAATTTAGATTCCCCCCCAAATTATAAACAAGTTGGCATGTGATAAATCGTTAATACCATTGCAGCCAAGTTATATAATATGTCCTTATTTACGACGAATTTACGACTGTGCGTAAATTCCCCCTAATTTTGGTATGATCCGAGCTCAGGCACAAGGTGACTTAGCACAGCACTTACTCCTGTGAGTGAGGGGGAAGAAGCTGCTGCCTGCGAGTTTGCTGTAGGAGAAGCACAGCCAGGCAGAAAGAAGAGAGCTTAAATTTGACCAGGTAACAAAACAAATCATTTGTACTGTACAAATAATGTAACTATGATGGTGTATCACAAAAGATTGATATCAAACTGATCACTTGACCCATATTA